GGCGGTGCCAGGCTGCCAGCCAAGGCGGGTGCCAGTGGGGGGGCCGCCCAATCGCCCTGCCCACCAGTTGCCCCACAGATTGGCCCTGATCGTTGGCCAGGCCTAGGGACCCTACCCTATATATTGGGAACAGTCTCTTAGATTTAAAAATTAAAACCTGGCAAGGCTACTCTAACACTGAAAAAACAGGATGATGCAGCGATGACATGCATGGACTCTGGCTTGCACATCTTGTGGTCAGCCCTGATTCTGACACTTATAACTGTGTGACAAAGCCAATTACTTAACTTCTTTCTGCTTCAGTTTTTCCACCCATAAGATGGGGAAAATGATCCTCAGAAGGATCATGTTATGTACTACTTTTTATAATCAGGGCAAAAAATATATAGCTGCCTATACAACAGCAAGATGCCTTTCACCTGTATGAAAAGTATGGTCACCGGGGCATGCAGCATCCCAGACTGTGAGAGGGATGTCCGACTGCTGGTTTAGGCCCAACATCCCCCAAGTGGTCCTGGATTGCAAGAGGTCGCAGGCCGGGCTGAGGGAGCTCCCCCCCGCCCGTCCCCGCCATGCACACATTTTGTGTACCGGGCCTCTAGTGACACATAAACTGCCAGATTATTTTAGTCATATCTTTTCTTCGTTAGGCATGCTATGTAAAATTCCAATGTTAATGTGATATAACTCCCTTGAACTAAGCATCTGCTACTTGAAGTATTGTCTCAAGTTTTCTGGGGACACAGAAATGAACAAGATGTAGTTTTTTAATTCAAGGAGCTCACAGTCTGACAAAGGAGATAGATTCAAACAATTCCTCATGTTACAATGTGATGAATGCTATAAACCAAGGAAATACAAAATGATAGAGAATACAGATGAAAGAAAGTCCTCTTCAGGAGGCTGGGGAAAATCTTTAGGCAATAACATCTGAGTTGGGACTTAAAGGCACTTTTAAAATTTCACTTGCCCTACTGGCATGGCTCAGTGGTTGAGCATTCACCTATGAACCAGGAGGTCTTGGTTCAATTCTTGGTAAGGCACATGCCCAGGTTGTGAGCTCACTGCCCAGTTGGGGGCAGGCAGGAGGCAACCGATCAATGATTCTCTCTCATCATTGATGTTTCTATCTTTCTCTCTCCCTCTCTGAAATCAATAAAAATATATTTAAAAAAAAAATACTGTGCAAAGTGCTCTGAGTTTAAGTGCTCCATGTGTTAAATTGAGAAGGAAACAGAAAGAACAAAGGCCAGAGATGAAAGACTGAGGCTATAATCTGTTTGGGGAAAGAAGTATAGAAAAGGAGTAATCTGTAGGCAATCACCCAATGGGATAGGATTAGGAAAGACCTGAGAAACAGAAATAGACCTGTCTTAGTTCTACTATATGTGTAAAGTGCTACTATATGGCTTAGTAGCACTATATACATTAGTAAGCATAGAGTGTAGTACATACAATAGATTAGTGCCTTTAGCTGATTACTTTTTTGGGTTCACTTGCATCTGAATTATCATTTAATTCCTTAGGT